CATCATCATCACCATCATCATCATCACCATCATCATCACCATCATCATCATCACCATCATCATTACCATCATCATCATCATCATCACCACCTGTCTATCTCTCTTAGAACTGAGGAGGAAGAAGGCTGTCACAGGGACATGCTTTAACCCATTTATTTGAACTAAAGAAAGACTCCTTCTGCTAGAAAGCTAGTCTGATTTAGCTGACGGTTGAACAGTGAGGACTGCCTTTGCCAGTCAGATTCGGTGGCAGACATTTTCCATAAAGTAAATGAGGTAAATCTGTAGCTCCAAGGTTTGAATGGAAACAGTATCTAAAGACACACGAAATAAACATTATGCTGGAAATTACATCCTTTCCAACTATTTAAGCTTATCATAAAGAATTTTAGGCATTAATTAAAAATTGGATGAGGATTATATAATATTCTCTCTAAATACAATCTCAAAACACCACATAATTTTACAGTCAAAAAAGAACTTTAGAGCTCATGTAGATCGATCATTTCATTTTCATAAAGAAATTGAATCTCAGAAAACGTAAATGGCTTGCCCAAGGTCCAAGTTCCATTCTTCCTCTATCAGATCTCACACACACACACACACACACACACACACACACACACCCTTCCTTCACGTCTTTCTGGACTCTGGGGTTGGCTGAGCCTCAAATTGCTGTAATTCTTGAGAGAGTTACCAGTCCCCACCTGGGCTGTCTTTCAGCCATCAGCTCTCTTCCCAGGACCTCGCTGCTGGCAGCTTGCTCCTGCTCTCCCTGTCTGAGCTAAGTGAAGGGCAGGCTTATTAATCCCTTCAACCTCCCTGAACTCAAAGATCTTATTAATTTATCCAAACATAATAGAAAGAGACAGTGATAATCCTTGGAGAATAGACCTCTTCTATCTGATTTCTACCACAAAATTAACACTTTCGTGTTTAAAAATATTTTTCCATTTTTCCATTAGCTTTACTGTGTGAGGAAGGAAAAGCTGGTATAATCACCAAGTCATGAGATAGGTTTTAACCCGTGAATATTTCTGATATCCACTCTCTCCTCTTTAACCCTACTAATGCTATATTTATCCAGGATATCACCTCTCTTTTGGAAAATTGTAACAGCCTCGGGCTTATAGTTTCTGAACTATTCTCCATTTGGCTTCTTAAAATGTTAAGTCTAAAAACTCAGATCTGATGACGTTGCTCCTTGGCTTTAAAAGCCTTAAAGGCTCCTTACTGCCCACTTGACACCATCCTAGCTCCACCAAAATGGCTCACAAGGCCCTCTGTAGCTTCGTTCCTGTTTACCTCTCTGGCCTCATCCCTCTCCATCTTTCCCTGTGTCTGTTTATAGTTTAACCTGTGCACTGGGTTATCTCTTACCTTCTTCCTCTACTCTCTGCCCGGAATGTTCCTTTTCCTACTGGAACTGCATAACATCCTTCCATCTTCCCAGAAACCCCAGCTCTGGCTCATCCACACCTCAGCAAATCTCTACTACAGGCCTTTGCCCTGAAAGCTATACTAAGAGTTCCTCTTAGGAAGAGGCTGTGTTTTATTGATTTTCATATCCCCAGTGGAATAAAAATGCTCAATAAAGAGCATTAGCTCTAGATACTTGGCTTCTCTTCACTCCTTGGCAATGGCCTGAGAGAATGATTTCAAAACAAACTCACTCTTTTAAAGGTCAAGAAAACACAGTACTTTCGGTGTAATAATAATAATAATACTTGTAATAATGGCTAACACGCACCATGACTGATCAAGTACCCGATAATGACCTAAATTCTTTACATGATTATAGCCTTGAATTCTTACAGAAATCCTGCATGTATTATAGCCATTTTCAGGTGAGAACCTGAGGCTCTGAGAACTTAGGTAAGGTGCCCGAGGTCACAAAGCTAGAAAGGAGCTAAGCTGACAATTAACTAGTGACACAGTCCAAGCTCTCAACACTCTATGTCCCTGCCTACACTTGGTGAAAATGAAAAGCATTGTAGCAAGGATTCTGAACACAGACTTCAATTGATTTTGTTATAAAATCACCATTAGATCTTCGGTGTTAGATTCTATGTTAAGAACACGAACTCGTGATCGCTTATGTACACTGAGTCCCTGAGTGCTGTCCTCTGGCCCCAAAGCTTCACACACCATTTATATCCCCATTACTCTTAACTTTACATTTCCAGTCCAAGTCCAGATCTTTCTCCCAAACTCCAAACCATTTCTCCAGCTCTTAACATTTCCTGTTTGCACGGTAAATAGGCAGCTCAACCGCAGCTCCTCAAACAATGAACTTCTGGTCTTCCCCTCACGAATCAGCTCTTGCCCACCCCCGTTAACGGAACCCCATCGTTCCAGTTGCTTAGGCTCCACATCTCGGGTGACCTTTGACTCCTCTGCTTCTGCACAACTCATACCGAATCCATCAGGAAACCCTGTTGGCTCCGTCTTCAAAACAGGTGGAGAAGGTGACTGCTTTTCTCCGTCTCCACCACCGTCTCTCCCCTGGATCACTGCAATAGCCCCCAACTGGTCTCCCCACTTCTACCCCTGCCCCCTGCAGTCTGTTCTCAACACAGCAGCCAGGCGGAGCCTTTGAAAACATAAATCAGGTCATGTCACTCTTCCGCCCCAGCCATACAAGGCCTTCCTGCATTATTCAGAGCAAAACTTACGGTCCTTCCAATGGCCTATACGGACACCCCATTCTTGACATTTCTGACCACCTCTCCTATTTCTCTTCATGCTGACTCTGCTCCAGCCACACCGCCCTTCTTAATGTTTCTAGAACAACCCCAGATATATTCCTCCCTTTTGAGTTTAGCACTGCCTATTCCTTCTTTCTAGAATTCTCTTCCCCCAGAAATCCATATAGCCAACTTCCTCAGCTCTTTCAAGTCATGGAGTAATGCCACTTTCTCAATGAAGCTGTTCCTAACCACCCTGTTTAAAATTGTAATCCCGCCCCCATCGCAGCACTCCCAATCCCTCTCCTTCCTTTTTCCCACGGCATTCATACTACATAATTTACTTATTTATTGTGGTTTTATGTTATTATCTGTCTTCCCCTGCTAGAATGTAAATCCACTGATGTACCTAGTGGTGGCTAGAACACAGTAAATGCTCAATAAGTCATTGCTAAACAAATGAATTATTATCAACTACTAATAATCAGTCTGAGTTCTCACCAGTACAGAAGAGCAAAGGGCTTTCCCAGGGTAGCGTCCGTTAATAGCTCTATAACAGGAGAGGTGGTGGCAGGACAGCACAGCTTAAGTGCAGGGCAGCAGTAACACATCGCACACAGCATCCCTCACAATGAACAAGCCCATGGACTTTGGAGTCAGGAGCCTGGGTTCAGACACTGGCTATGCTGCCTACTAATTTGGGAAAGACACTTAACTTGAGCCTCTGTAAAATGAGAATAATAGTGATAATAATGCCTCTTTTGTGGTATTGATTGATTTGTGTATTTATTATTGATCAAAAATTTTTATAGTGCTAGGGATTGTTCTAAGTGGTTTACAAATACTAACTCATTTAATCTTCATAACAGATCCATGAGTAGAAACTAATATTATTCCCATTTTCCAGATGTGGAAACTGAGAGACAGAAAGCTTAAGTAACTTTCTCAAAGGCAGGTAGCTAGTAAAAGGTGGACCTGGGATTTGAACCTGGCTATCTGACACCACAGTTCGGCTCTGCTCTGCTGAGTCTCTTTGTGCTGAGAATTTAAGTGTATCAATGTAAGTCAGGTTCCTTACAATGCCAGACATTTAGTAAGCTCTCAAAATGTGTGGGCTGCTCTTTTCATTACTACTATTATCATTACTTGATAATACCTATTCTGAATCTATTTTCATGCTTCAGAAATTAAGGTAACTATACAAGAATCAATATAAAACATGTTAAATGTGCTCTTCCTACACCTAGTCACTAAGAACAGAGCCTGGGTGGTATTTAATGCTTAGAACGTAGAAACACGTTGATTGTTTACTAAAATAGCTTAAGTGCAAATATGATGTTCACAGACCACTTTAACTGAACATGAGCCCTATATGATTTCATTGCTGTGTTCTTTTTAATGCTTTCTGGGTAGGCTATAAGTTTATCAATTTAAGTAATTTTTAAATATCAAAAAACCATGCTCTGTCATTCCTGTAGTGAGACAATGATGGCAAAAGAGAAAAAAGTGAGAAGCCAATTGTTTTAGGCAAAACCGTGGTGCAGGTGTCCTGCCCCTGAGTTGTGGTTACTTACAGACGGGAGGCAGCTCATACTCGACTTCAAGAACCACTCTCTCCCCAACATTCTTCAGCAAGCTGATGATCTCGTCATGGCGGAATTTGGCCAGATTGATCCCATTCACTGCTTTGATGTAGTCACCCACATCCAGCTGATCACTTCTGCAAAACAGAGAACGTCGCTTCAGTGGACCCATCCTCTCCACAGGCCAGTGGGACTGTATTTTCCAGTTTCCCTTCATGGATAAGTTGCAAGCCCAGGAGCCGACAGGAGAACAGAAGTTCCCGCCTCCTAGGAAGGGCTGGCCCCTAAGAGGAGGCGCAGAGCCGAGGGCGGACGAGAGATCAATGGATCCCTTGTAGTCATGCTGACTGTTACACTTGCAAAGGCTGTGCTGGCTCTGCTGCTGTCTCCGACTTTTTCCTAACCCTTTGCCTCTTTTATTCTTAAAGAGCAGCACAGAACAAGACAGAGAAAAATCTTTTAGTTGCTCTGCCCACAAAGAGTTGGTCCTCTGGGGGAAGAGTATCCAGATTCCAGACACACCAGAACCTTTTCTTTCTTCTCATTCCCTCTCATTTTTGCCACCTGCCTTTTGGACATTTCACAGCTTTCACTATCTTCGCTGGGAGTTTGCCCAGGGCCACGGAAAGGGTCAGCTTATTTTGCTATTGATTGGTTACAGCAGGACTGATAGGAAAGAGTACTGGTGAAGAAGAAATTACTGGGTTTCAGTAACATTCTCATCTCTCTTCATCACCATAATAGAACCTTGGCTACTTTTGGGCTTTTAGTCAAGCTCTGCTTCTAAACCGAGAGCAGGCAGCAAGACCAATGACAGGGCTTAAAATTCATGTCACTGATGAGGACCTTCAAGAATCTTCTTTCCTCCCGAAACAGAAAGACCTGATCCATTTATTCTATAGAAGTCCAGCTCCAGCCATTCCTCTTTGGGGGCCTTCCTCATCTGCTCCAGCCTACAGTACATGCTGTCACTCACCCAGGTGTCTGACACTCGTCAGGCAACTTAATGCTTTGTGACAACTCTTATGTTGCTGCTCTTTACTACTATGCAACGCTATTACTGCTCTCAAACTTTTCAGGTTTTTATACTTTATCTCCGCTAATAGATTATAAGCCCCCTTTGGGTAGGGATCGTACCTAATTATTTTGGGTGACTCCCTGTAAATGGTAGTGCCTGAGACAATGACTATTTGGGGATTGATAATACTCAATACACAAGGCAGAGCACGACTTTAATTACAGCATCAATACAACTGAAAATGGCTTTTTCCCTCTATTCATACTTGCTTCAAGAGCTACATGTGAAGACGCTCTGGAGACATGAAGCCCACAACTGTTATAAAATAAAAGAGGCTGCGGGTGTGGAAAGAAGTCTGTTAAAAGCCCCACAAAGAAAGGAGATTAAGGTGCTTGTGTTGACATCAGCCTGTTTTACAAACAATATTTTGGATCATGGAGCAATCAATTGGATTACGTTCATAAATTGTACACACAGGTTGATCATCAAAAGTCATCACTATTTCAGATGACACTTTATAAGTCAAGAACCGTAAAACTTAAAAAAATTTGTGATTATGTGGGCAAGAATATTGGTGTCCAGGATTTAAGGTACATTACCTCACTTCTAACAAAACCTCTTTCTGAGGTAAATTTAGAATCCGTCCATAAAGCAAGCCCACCCTTGCCAAGCATCCAGGACACGGTGCCTTTGGCAATAACCAGTGCAATTTGCAGTTCATTGGAACGCGGACAAAATGAGACCTCATCTAAGCCTTCTATCTTTTTGGAAACCACATCCTTGTCTTGATGAAAAGGAAAGTCTTACAAGTAGAAAAGTGGAGGAGATGTGGGACAAGCAAAATCGTCACTTAGAAATGTGCAGCTGGGCCTCTCCCTCTTTCCAGGCTAGCCAAGTTCCTCTCTGGCAGGTCCCCCCTACACATTATATGGGTCATCTGCCCACATTTAGACCATTGGAGTGTCTCAGCCCACTGCAGCCTGTCTGCCGTGCAGTGGCACATTTGGGGATGATAGCCATGCAGGAGTTTTAAAATTAAAATTTTATGAGGGCCTGGCTGCTCCTGAGATGACACGAGATCTCCCTGGTGACTTTGGCAGAGGCCAGAAAAGCCACACTTCTGAAAGATGCCCCACTGTGCTCCCGCCCGGCAGACGGCAGCTGTCATTTATTTATTACTGACCTTTTCGGATGGAGCTTTAATATTTGCATTAATCACACCCCGAGTGCGTTTGCTTCTTTTTCCCGGGAGGCGGTTACCTGGCAGCAATTCCTCCTTGCCGCAGATTTGACACTCGAGGCTTGCCATCCTTATCGACTCCGCCCGATACCGTCAGCCCGAGGGTCGTGCCTTCCTTCTTCATCAGCTCAACCACAGTGGAGCCCTTGAACTCCTCTGTGAAGAGACAAGCATTGGCCTTATGAAATGAGAACAGAAGCACAAGATGCTGTTTGGTGTGTTTGTGAAGTGATTCTTCCCCACAAACTCTTCCCACTTTTTCTTTTATCAGAAAAGATCTGTGGCCTCTTTTCCATTGCAGTTTGCAGAGGATCTCATAAGGATGTGCATGTAGATAAAGCTGAGCAGATATTCCATTACAGATTATTAAAATGGGTACCCGTGGGGTAGTTCACAATAAAGAGTCCAACACGGCTTATGTACAAATGATAATATTCGCCCTTTGTTTGCTGCCATTCTCAAGTGACCTTCTCTGGTTTCTCTCCTTGTAACTCCAAAGAGAACAAACTGAGAGTTGTAAGATAAGGGGCTAGAAAATAATAATACAAATGCAGACACTGCAGCAGCCAACTCTAAGTTCCCAGCACATTTCAGCTGAGGAAGCCAACCAACTCAAGAGAAGAGAGCTTTCCACGGGCTTGAGAAAAATCTTATTGACTCTCTACTTTTCTTTTTTGTCTTTCAGAAAACAAAGTACAATGGCTTCATGTAACAACTCACTTCATTTCTTAGGGAATGTGTCACAATACGGTAAGTCGGGGCTGGTCCTCAGAATCCCCAGGTAACTCCTGTAAATCCCTCACTCTCCACTTTCAAAATTTTAAGATCTCACAGCTCTTGTGGGGATAATGTCTATACGCTAAGAGGGAACCCAAATCTTTTGCTTTTAGGCACAACAGAAGGTAAGAACACTTTAATAGCCTTCCTTTCAGAAATAAAAATAAGTAGAGTCAACATTTACCTATCTAGAGGCTAATTATGATAAACACTGTTTTAAAATTCTCTGTTATGTTATCCCCCCTCAGCATATACACTTTCCAGGTAGGAAAACTGGGGAAATTGGACAGTTTTCCAGTTCCTCCTGAATCAGGTTATGAATTTCAGGAGTTATGAACTTCTAGGACATCAAAGACACTCCTATTAAAATGCAAAAAACAGATTTTCTTTTTCAAAATCAAAAAACCAAAGAGATTACTTGTACACTTCTGCCCTTTCCTGAATTATACATAACGGAGTTAATGATCATTTCAGAAATCTATATGAATGCTTATCATAAAGGTTTTTAAATTGTTGCTGCTGGTATACTACCCTACTACCCAATGAAAAAAATCAAATCATGTAGGGAAGGAAATAATCTCTCCTCTGGTCTGGTAAGGAAAACAGAGTACCCGGGGAAGGAGGCAGGAGGTGGGGGCAGGCCCCTGATTTCCTCAGTGACGTACAGAATGTCATTCCAGGCCGGGCTTTCCAGACTGCCCAGTCCTGGGCCCTGGGCACCCCAGCATTCCTTCTTCTTCACGGCAGTTCCACAACACTGCACACGTGAGTCGTTACTGCCCTTTACAGCAGAAGCCAAGGAAGAGTCTATGAGTGTGGATGATGTCAGCTTCATTGACTACATTTTGTATGAGAGACCAAATAATGACTGAAATTCAAGAATCAAAATTCTCGTCAAGTGCATAAAAGCACAGGGCCTTTTACATCATGTACCAGAAGCATCTGTAATTAAAGTCCACCACCACGTGCATTTCACCTGTGCCCCCTAAAACAGAGCAAAACAACCTCCTCTATATCCCATAGAAACATACGTGGGCCTAACTAATATTTGAAGAGGTCCACTTAAGAAACAACCCTTATAAGTCTTTCTTGGCAGAATGCTGGGTATAAATTATTAAAAAAAGGTTGGGGGGCTGGTCCAGTGGCCTAGTGCTTAAGTTCACGTGCTCCGCTTTGGCGGCCGGGGGTTCGTAGGTTTGCATCTTGGGTGTGGACCTACGCACCACTTATCAAGCCATGCTGTGGCAGCGTCCCACATATAAAGTAGAGGAAGATGGGCACGAATGTTAGCCCAGGGATGATCTTTCTCAGCAAAAAGAGGAGGATTGGCAACGGATGTTAGCTCAGGGCTGATCATCCTCACAAAAAAAAAAAAAATAAATAAAATAAGGTTAATAAAGTAACAAATATTGCATTATAGATGATGACTATTCAGATTACAGAGAGGTAATGTGTTTAACAATTTTGCTCAACAAAAGAATTCTTTGCATTTTCTTTAACTATGTAGAATTGATTCTGTATATTTAAGCATTTATCCCAGGCTTCTGGCTGAATCTTGAAAATCCAGAAAAGCTCAATTCCTTTAGTTTAATTTGATCTCTGTTAAAATATAAATCTATCTGGGCTACTTTTTAAACAGGTAATAGTCAGTTACTCTCTTGTTTAAAAATATTTCAAATCTTTCCCCAAGAGCTAGTTTTAATAACACGAAAGAAAATATTCATGCACCAGGTAACTGAGTAATTTGCGCATTTATTGATTCAAGCATTTATTGAGTGCCTACTATGAGCAGCCAGACAATGAAACTCAAAGATGGGAAAAGTCAGAGATGCTTACAGCCTAGTCACAGAGGCAAATGAGTCTGAGACCACCATGCCACAGTGTGGGTGGTGGGGAAGGTGGCCTCAGAGGAGACAGTCCTGGCAACAAAGTAAACTGCAGGCTTGCTGTTCCAAATGCCACATTTATTTCACAATTTTGTCTTCTGTCTAATCTATCTGCATTTATTGATCAGGATTAGCTGAGCGGAACAGACCAAAGGAGAAATCTAAATTAGGGAAAACTCAGGAGTAAAGATAGGATATTGTTGCAGAAAATGCGCTGAATCACAAGAATGTTAACTGCCAATATGTATCTCAGGTCCCTGAAGGATGGACTAAATCTTTCATGAGGGTTTCCGAAGAGAGTAGGAGAAAGAAGCAATCAGGAGAGGGAGGAACATGCTTCTGGAGTTTGCTTTCTGCTAACCTGCACTCTCCACTAGACTAATCAATCATTTTATGTCTTTTTTGGTGTTTAATGTCTGCATAATGATCTAATGGCAAAGAGAAATGGAGACAGATGCATTCATTTGCATGAGTTTATCTATATATCAAGGCTTACAGGAATGAAGCCCTGCAGTGAACAGTGGAACTTGGGCAAGTCAATACGCAATGACAATTTCTTTCTTTGTGATTTAAATTGCAAACAGCCCTCCCCAAATGAAGAGGACCACAGGCAAAGATTGTACTTTCTCCAAATTAGCAAGCAGCACAGGGAACAGATGATGCCCAACCAGCAAGGAACAAGATGGTTCTGGACTTGACGTTTTCCTTAATCATCCTATTTAATTATCTTAGAAAAGAAATTGCAGGTTGACATCTGTACCAGTCCTCACTCAACAGAACCAACAAGAATCTCATTGACAGGATGGGATTTAGTTGTTTGCTGTTTTTCCTTGGGTTTGTAATTCAATCCTCTTAATTACTGAACTCCAGAAAGTTTTTTTTTTTTTTGGTGGGGAAGATTTGCTCTGAGCTAACATCTGTGCCAATCTTCCTCTGTTTTTATTTTGTATGTGGGACACCACCATAGCATGGCCAGTGAGTGGAGCAGGCCTGCGCCCGGCATCCGAATCCGCAAACCTGGGCTGCTGAAGCGGAGCACACAGAACTTTAACCACTTGGCCACAGGGCCAGGACCTCCAGGAAGTTTCAAGAAAAGTAACAATGATGCCTGGTGAAAGCAAGAGAATTATGAAAACAAATAAGAAAATGAAATAACATAGATGGTTACAAAATTAACAAGCAGAAAACCATAGCCTTTATATAAACAAACAACAACCAGTTAGAAGTTATCATAGAAGAAAAAACCCCATTTATAATAGCCCCAAAGTAAAACCCCTAAGAAAAAATTTAATGAAAAATGTGCAAAATCTATATGAAGAAAACTTTAAAACACTTCTGAGGGACATGAGATCAGAACAAATGGAAAGGCAACTCATTCATCCATTCAATAAAAACCAAGCACTGACTACGTGCTGGGGACTGTTCTAGGCTTTAAAGATACAGAGCTGAACAGAACAGAGAAAATCCCTGCCACCTGGAAACTAATATTCCAGTGGAGAGCATAACCCAACATCAAAAATACGTCAATTCTCCCTAAAATAATGCGTGAAGTTCACAACATCAGTAAAAATGCCAATAGGATTTTTTTGGTACAAGATATATTTTATATTATTGCAAAAAGGAAACATGCATTGTTGCAAAGATTCTGTGAAAAACTGTGTTCCCAAAGTATGCCAGCTTGCTGTGTAACGTTGCTGTGAAAGAACAGAGAGAGCGTGCCCATGCAGCCTCCCTGAACCAGGTGATGCAGTTAGGACCGGATGTGACACTACCCATCCTATCCCCCCCAAGAGAGATTATAAAAAGAACCACCCTTGAAGCAGAGGCGTGAGGTGGCAGGCTGGCAAAGCCTCTGTGTTTGCCCCCCAAATGGTGGTCAAAGTCTGGATCTTTGCTATACAAAAAAAAAAAAAGAGAGAAAGAAAGAAAAGAAAAGCATCATAGGCGCAGGGCATTCAGAACCCATTTGAGATCATCCTAGCGTTTTGTAACAGTTTTACACGGAAAAACAAGGTACAGCATAATAATTTCATTTTGTTCTGTGAAACTCTTGGTGTCTAGAAATTCCTGCCTTACTGCCTATTTAAAAAGTATAATTAGGATTAGACCAGAAAAGAGGTGTTACCTCTAATTTCTGGAAGGTTCCTAAAATTCAGGGGCTAAATGAACAGAGATCACAAAGCGAACAACTGTAACAACAGTTGCTGAAAGAGGAGAGACAGAAAGTGATGATTACAGCGAAGAGTGATAAGGCCATCTGGAGGATCCCTATCAGACCAGGAAAGTCGTGCTCTGGAGGGTTCCTTGGAGGAGTTATCCCTGAGGTAAGTCTGAAGACAGCCTCAGCTCAGCAAATTGGGAGTGAGTGTTGAAGGCAGAGGAACCATAAACGGCAGGCGATTACACAGGTTCTATGAAGAGCAAATCCATCAGTTCAGTTTGCACTTTCTCAATTCTGGCTGCACGTTAGAACCACCTGGGGAGCTTTTAAAA